TACCTCCTCTCTCTGCGTCTCCTTTTCTTTACTAGGCGCAAAAAAAAAAAAAAAAAGCATATGACGCTATACCGCATGACATAGTCATGGCCTCGCAGCTGTCGTAGTGGGATTCGTCGCGACCCGAGCTCCCGACGTCAGCCTAGCGCGTGTCCGACACCAACCATGGCGAATGGCGCAGTGTTGGGATCCTCGATCGAGTTAGCCGCCAGGGCTGGAACAACGGCCGCCAGAGATGTGATGAATCATGAATGACAGACCGTTGGCCATGCGCCAGGCAAGGCCATAGCCCACAGCAAAGACGAGCCTATTAGTCATGTTAGCTATTTTCCTGGCCGCTAGGCTCATTTCCAAACAGCTAACGGCCTTATTCCGGCCAGCTGCCACAACACGGCTGCTTATTTCGGGGCTAGTTCCTTAGGCGGTTAGGACCAGGGCAGTTAGGAGGTGAGGCATGAGCTTGAGAAATCATGAGTCCGAACACGGCTGCGACGCCATCTCCGGTTGTTGCTGTTAATTCCAGTCCATGAGCCGGCTTTCCTGCCATGCCGGCCGGCAAAGAGATGGTTCCAAGTAAGTTCCCGGTCGATATCTCACCACTTGTTTTCAAAACCACATCCCTACAGTGGGTAGGTTGCCGGCGGCAAAACCTGCCTGCCACTGATTTCGATTTGCCCAGAGCTCCGTCGACTCACTCCAAGACCCCAAGCTCCCACGCTAGGTAGTCTCTCGGGTGACCGGAAGTATCGAGCAGGACGCCCCTGTCCCCTTCTAATATGACATTCCTTGCTACATCATTACATCCATTTTATCAGCGGCAAGACCTGTGACGGATGTCTCCCACTATCCAAGTTGCCCGGCCGTCGGACAGCAGCAGGCCTTGAGAAGAAAGGCTTGTGTTTCGCTAAAGGATATTCTTTTGTTCCCTTTTTTCTTCCCTTTTTCTTTGAATAAAGCTCTGCTCAAGCCATTCTTGAGAGCCCAGCTCCCCGCAACAACAAAAAAATCTTCTTTCAAAGGTCTGTCATTGAAACTGCATCCACGTCAGCTGACACTTGCTTCGCGGTCGGGACTGTTTCTGGCAAGTCTTGCGGCATTGGTAATCTCTTTCCTTTTCAGAAACATCCCTACACTAAGCCACAAGCAAAAAAAATTGTATAGTTTGTACCTGTTTCGTAACATCGTCTCGTTTCCAATGCTGCCGACGAAAACAGTTCCTCTACACTGAGATAGCCACGATAGTGAGCCTTTATGCGCCGAGAAACTCCAGCCGAGGAGAAATTTCCCCCAGGTGTAATAAGTCGCCGTGTTGTTGTTGGGCATGTTGAGGACGGGTAGGGGTGTGCTACCCGAGACAGCCTCGTTTTGCTAACCTTCAAAGGATATCCTTTGTTGTGGATCTATCTACTCCTCGCCGATGCAGGGGGGAAGATGTCGTATGGCAAGCTGCCCGGACTGTGATTATGTCGTATCATTGGCCTCTTCTCCATAAAGTCAATAATGGCTGGAAGGATTACGTTCCTTCAACTAGCTAGAGGAAAGCTTTGAAGGGGCCCAGGGCTATAATTAGAACAAACAAGGTGCCTATAGGCTTCGAGCTCTTGATGCCCTCCGCGGCCCATCCCATACTAGGCTGCAGAAGTTGGGATCAAGATAACTGTTGCTCTATACATCCCTCACTTAACACGCGTAGATAGAGCTAAAATAAGCAGAATTGGGACTAGAAAGTTCTTGTGCCAGGCGTAAACAACATGTGTGTGGATAGAAGACACCTCGGTGCTGTTGGACCGCGGAGGTGCCGCAAGTGTTTTTTTTTCTCTCTCTTTCGGGTCGTTCATGACCTCATGGTGTCAGTTCTCTGTCGCACATGACAGCCTATTAACCGCAAATTTCCGTTCGTAATTTCAGCAGCGCTCTGTGCATCTCGAGTCTCGCGGATCACGACTGTTGTCAAGGCCAGCCGCTTCCCGTGCCGTTCCGTGTTCCACCATCAATGCCGTGCTTCCAACAAAAATAACAGTCGTTATCTCCATGGATGGCGTCACGCAAGGACGCACCTGGGTGCCATGGCATCCTATGTGCCGGATCCCGCTGTGAGGGCGCACGGGCAGGGGGAGTCCAGCCGCTCGATATCGCGTCGTGTGACGAGAGCCTCAACAGGATCCCCAAGTTCGCGTCGGACACGTGTCACGCCCGGTGCCCGATATTCTTCTGCCGTCATGGGCGAACAAGGAGATTGCCACGGGAGTCGACATGGGCTAGAGGGGCCAGACACGGGGACGGGCAGAGCGCGTCCTCCCTCACCGGTCCTAGTCCCGACGCCGGAATCTCCGCTACGCTTCTGACCGGCTGCAGGCCGCAAAGGCGACTGCTACACGAAGAACAGGAAAGTAGCGATGCTGGGCTTGGCAGGTGCAGCCGCTGAACAGGTAGATACCAGGCAGCAAAGGTTGCTTTTTCTCTTTCTTGCTTTGTACTTTCGCGGTGAGACGCGAGCGAGAGTGTGATGGGCGCTGGCGTCCCAAAAAAAAAAAGGAAAGAAAAAAGGGGGGGCCAGGCGTTCGCAACAAGCACAGGATACACGCTACGTGCGCATGATATCGGCCATCGTGGTTTGCGACATGGGCGGAACTGCCGAGGCCTGAATGACGACGACGTTGGGTGCAGAGATGCAAATTTGGTTTTTTGATAGTAATAAATAAAAAAAACAGATAAACTAACCCAAAAAAAATGCCTCCTAGTTCCCACTCGACGAAGTACAACGATCAAGGGGCCATCGCTAGTGCTGATGACGTCACATTCGCCGTCGGTGTATCCCATCAGACAAGAGCGGTGAGCGCAGCGGCCAGACCGCAGCCAAGAGAATGACAAAATTCCGGTGTGGCCAAGTTCGCCATGGCGGCTCCGAACAAAGACGCGAACCAGCAGAGAGGACGCACCTAGTGCTACCGGTCAGCTGGAGTGAGGAGCCTGAGGGGGTGGGGTAAATAAACGAGACGAGGAAAAAGAAAAAGAAAAAGAAAAAGAAAAGAAAAAGAAAAAGAAAAAGAAAAAGAAAAAGAAAAAGAAAAGAAAAGGAAAAAGAAAAAAAAAAAGCAAACCCCCAGGAGGGTTACCAATTTAGTAGCCCTAAACCCAGTACGACGTGCTGCGTCTACCTAAGCGAGGGATCGAGAATTAAATCAGAAACCCGATGCATGCGCCGCATCCGAAACAAAGACGCAGGCCAGCGACACGAGAGGAAACCGCCCGGGCTGCGGGCGGCGGCGGGCGGCGGCGAGGGAGAGATATCATAAATGACAGAGTGCGGCGGTGTCAATGACGTACCCGCATGGTACTTGTCGTCGCGTCGAGGTACATGCCGTACCCCTCGCAGTCGGCGCATGCCGCGGCAGCAAACAGGGCGGACGAACAACTTTTTTTGTTGTCGTTGTCGGTTGGTCGTCTTCCTTTGTTTCTTTTCCCTTCTTTGGCTCCTTGCTGACCGCGTGGAAGCAGGACAGCGGTTGTCAGACGCTTGGGCACCTAGGCGTCATCGGCGGCCTCCGCTCAGTGCTGTCTGCCCACCCGCCAGCGCGCCCCGCGATCCCGAGGGGGGTTTCGGATGGAGAGGGCACCAACGGAGACCACGCACGCACACACACCCCTCGGTTTTTTTTGGGGGGGCTTTTAGCGCAGCAGCCAGGCCGCCTCCCCCGAGGTTCCCGAAGCAATGGTGGTGGGGATCACGGTGGCGCCGTGAGGAAGAGTAGATTGGGTGCGGATTCAAGATGGTGCCAGGACAGGTACCTGCCTGTACCTGCCTACGAGCTACCTACCTGAGTACATGAACGACCGACACGTATGCAGGTACAAGTTGCCCTCTATTCTTTGATTCCTGTTGGGCAGCTGTCATCCGCCATCCGTCATCCGTCGCGTGTGGGTCATGGCATGTCTGGAGTTTTGCTGCATCGGGGGACGGAGGGAGGGGGGCGCGCGGCCGGGGAAGGGGCATGCAGGAAAATGCAGCCAGCCGCGGCTGAAACCCAACGCGATAACGAAAAAGAAAGAAGAGGAAAATGAAACATTAAAAGAAAAATAGGCAACTCGAGTAACTAGCGAAAGGGAAGAAAAAAAGAAAAAAAAAAGAAAAGAAAAGAAAAGACAGCTCTTAGAGTCAACATGGTTGACGTACGCGCATCTAGTGCCGAGGCACCGAATACGAATAGCACGGCGGCCTGTCAGAGTCTTGGAGAGGACGAAACGAGCAATGTTTACTGGTGACTGTACGATGCTTGGGCGAAGAGCCCAACAAATGTGGTTTGCCGGACGTGAGCAGCGTGGAGAAACAAGGTTTCGGCCAGGCGGCCGTGGCTTTGAAATACGGGGGCCTGTCTGGGCTAGCGGGTGAGCCCCGATGTGACAGGTCAGGCACGGTCAGGTGCACACGCGCCCTGCTCGGCGGCTGACGGCTGCCATTGTCTAGAGGGTCCTGAATGGGGGGATGCAGGGACCACGTTCTGGAAGCGTTCGAAAGGAAGCGCGGTGGGATGGGCACGCGCGGTTTAGGAACTCTATTGAAAAAGAAAAAAAAAAGAAAAAAAAGAAAGGGCGGAGGAGGCATCTAGAAAAGGCGACAGTAATTCGCTACCCAGCAACCGAAGGATTTGGTAAGCTAGTACATAATTTTTAGTTGCTCTCAACTTGCCTTCTCGTGGCCCGAAGAAATTGGCAGGACAAGCCGAGTTGGGGTAAATCAATCCAGCCCACCGACGGCAGATGGCCTGTCCCGGTGGATGCAACGTCGCTGAAGCCACACCCACAAACATGACTTCGCCCACCCGCCCCACCTAAATTTACTCCAGCAGGCGCGGCCGCCCCACGGCTGCTTTCGGGGATGCCAGCTTGGCCAGCTGGGGGTGGTGCGATGGGTTGATTGATGTGCCAAGCGCATCCCTGCGACCATGCAGCCCGCGCGTGTGACCCCCCGGCGCTAAACCCAGATCTCGACCAAATTGAAATACCATCTCTTTAGGCTCTCTTTTTTATTTTATTGTTACTTATTCTTTTTTATTTTATTACTTTGTTCCTCCTACTTGTCTTCTACCTGGACGCGATCGGGAAGCCCGGGAGAGCCAAGCCGACTGCCCGGTTCTACCAGGGAAATGAGCAAGGCGGGAACCCCTGGGTAAGCAGGAGGGACTAGAGGATTCTACGGAGGTGTGGGTTAAATAATCTACAGTGGGGAGGTCACTCGTGAAGCGAGGGCAGGGGCCAGGGGTATGCACTGGCGGGCGGATTCGAATTGGTGCTGCGATTGATGTTGAAAAAGAAATGTAGGCTAGGCCTTATTTGGTAGGGGCTGAACATGGGGTGCTCTTGGCGCTACC